ATGATGCTTGCAAAGAAGAGAAATATAATTTTTTAGATGTCTTAGCGTGAGAAAAAAGAGGATGTGTTGGGGGGCTTTAATTGTAGCCAACCCTTTGTTCTACATATATGTACAGTATATATGAATGTATATCAATATGTAAATACTGCAGAAAATCCAATTTTGTACAATATAAGAAAACAATAAAATTTACCATGTCTGACACCCATATTGAAAGCATCATAAAGATAATTTCTATATGTAAATCTTTATTACTTTCTTTGTGTAGACAAGGTCAATTATGTATATTCTGTTTGAATTTCTAGCACATTCTCAGCAATCACCTTGTCATATGAAAATAAAGCAGAAATACGTGAAACCTTATTACTATTTTTGTGATTAATCACAAATTCGTTTTCTTAATTATCATTTAAATTTGTATCCTAAACCATTTTTGTAATTAAGTTAGTTAATATTTATATAAATACTTAAAATAACTTCAATTAAATTACCTTTTTCTTTGCCTGCATAATTACTATATAAATTCCCATATCAACGTTTTTGGCAGCCAATTTTAAACATTCGGCTTTAAATTTTGTAAAATCCTGTGTAACAGCTAGTTGGGTCTCAGCCCCAGTTTCTCTTGGTACTTTAAATGCTACACTGTAATCAATTGGCAAGAGAGTATTATTTTTTATCAGCATGGTGACTTTGTTATGAATTGATGAAAAAAATTCATCTATAGTCAACACTGATTCTTTAAACCATTTTGCTAGTAACAATATTCCTTCTGCAGTTTTGACAAATAATTGTAACTTATTTCAAATTCAGGATCTTCGTTACTACTTAATACTTCATCTTCATTGGTCATAAAAGACACAGATGAAGAAAATGACGAAATTATTTTCTAAACAAAAAAAATTATACATGAACTTATATGTATAATAAAAATAAATAAATAAATAAATACATTAGGCTCACTTATATCCAATCCCATATCTGAAGCCATATCTATTACTTCAGTTACAATATCCATTTCTATGCCTATCACTTTATTTGTTACTTTGTCTGCTGATTTTTTTTTAGCTTTTTGGTGATTCAATTTAAGCAGAACATTGTGACATCTGCTACAAAGAGAAAACTTAAATAACTTTTTCAAATTTATTTGATAATTAAATTCGAAAACTCTTTTGTGAATGTATTCAAACTTCAGTGAATTCCAGGTGGGCTCAAATAAATGTGTATATGCTTGTTTGACTTGGGCAGTTCTATTTTTTTTGGTTGGCACTATGGATTTTTTACAGCTGCAAGTGATCTGACTCAAATCTGCTGCATAGTACAAACATTTATGGCAGCCAAAGCATGTTCCACGATGATATTTAAGTTTTGTATTTAATGCATCGGCCATATGTTATTGATGTGGAAAAAAGAAAAAAATTTTATTATTTTTATCATTTCTCTTATATTTATATTTTATGTTTTAAATTCCTGATTTCCCGATTTCAGATTCTCAGTGACAAAATTTGATGATAGGTGAATCTTCTTGTCACCTATTTTATCAGCAGTATTACATAGAGTTAGGGTTAGCGTTTTATCAGTTGCTTATATTTATTAATAGTAAATTGTCACTGTGTGATGCTATGTATGTACATACAGTATTCAGATAAAAAAAAAGGGCTTGGTGGTTGTCAAGATATCTATGTTCAAAGTTTTAAAAAAATTCATTAACATCAAATAAAAATTTTCTCAAGCTTTAAGCAAAGATATCTCAACAACAACCAAGCCAGATTCGATGATTTTTTTTATTTAAATTTTACAATTTGTTGAATTCAAATAAAAAACAGTCACCAGATTTGGTTTTGTATTTATCAAGATATCCTCGCTCAAATTTTTTAAAAAAACTCAATTCATCTATAAAGTAAAAGCTGCGCCAAAATTTTCTAAAACTTTGAGAGAATATATCTCAACAACTATCAATCCAATTTTGATGACCTTTTTTTTATTTGAATTCTACTAATTCGTAGAATTCAAATAAAAAAAGTTTATTAAATTTGGACTGGTGGTTATTGAGAAACCTTCGCTTAATATTTGAAAAAAAATTTCATTGAATTTTTTTAAACTTTGAGCGAAGATATCTCGACAACCACCAGGCCAAATTTAATAAACTTTAACTATTTGAAATCTACAGGTTCATAGAATTCAAATAAAAAAAAGTTTATTAAATTTGGCCTGGTGGTTGTCGAGAAACCTTCGCTCAAAGTTTGAAAAAACTTTCCATTAACTTTTTTTTTAACTTTGAGCAAAGGTTTCTCAACAACCACCAGGCCAAATTTAATAAACTTTTTTTTATTTCAATTCTATGAACCTGTAGAATGCAAATAAAAAAAGCTTATTAAATTTGGCCTGGTGGTTGTCAAGATATCTTTGCTCAAAGTTTTAAAAAGCTTTAATTTACAGAATTTCAGATTTCCAGATTCCCAGTGATGTGTGATCTATGAAAATTGATGATCACAGAAAATTAAAAAGAGCGATAAATAAAATATTTGCTTTTTTATTTCTAGTTTTGGCCTTGACATCTTGTTGTTAAGAAAAAACAGGATATTAGATTAGCAATCATGTTAATTCATTAAATTAACATTAATAAGTAAGAAAATGGCTTTAATAATTTATATGTTAATTAATTTATTAGCTGGTGAGTATAGATAGGATTATTATATTAATTAATAACATCAACCAATTAAAATTTTTCAATAAAATTTCTCTAATTATTACCAGAAAATGCACAGCATTGTGAGTCCGGAGCTACTACTAAAATTAATTTTTCAACAGATACAGTATTTTGGGGGGAGTTAATAAAAAAGGGACAAATTGTTTTTAGTGAAATTTTTTTTAATTTTTAAATTAAAATATCTCAACTAATTAATCAAATTTGCTAAAATTTTTTTTGTTTTAATTTTGAAATTATATAAAATTAAAATAAAAAA